GGGGATGGAGTTCTGCTGCCAGCTGATATTTCTACCCGAAAATAAGGCGACGGCTCTTGAAATGCTATTTCCGGACACCCCTGGTGAGACGGCAGCAGAGATCGGAGCCAGCGTGCCCGGGCCAGCGCTCGGGAAGGCCATCGGGGGTGGGCAGGGGCAGGTGCGGAGCGTCCCCCTGCTCCGGGCTTCAGTTTGCACTGGACACGTGGTGTGGCTTTGTATCCCGTCACTGTGAGACGCTCACTGCGCTCCCTTCTCAAGTCTCATTTTTTCCATGTTGAAAGCAAAAAGCCCCTTGGGGCTGTCCTCAGGGCAGCGGCGGCCAGTCCCGATGCCCAGAGCACTCGTGGGCGCCCTTCTTCGCGGTCCTCGGCGGCGTTTGGCTCTGTTTCCTCACCGTGTGCAGCCAGTCCGGGAGCTGGCCGCAGGGGCGCTCCCGCGACGTGGTGCCCACGGGCACTCAGTGGCCAGCCGGCGCCTCGGTGACGGACGGACGTCGGACTTGGAAATGCTGAGTGTGGGCAGTTCTGCGGGATTCTGGGGCCCGACCCGTTCGCCGTTCGAATGTCACGCTGATCTTCTCGTTTGGGCTGGCAGCCGATGCTCGGTGCGCTCTGTCAGAAACGTCTCGGCTGACGACCGGCGGCCGGTTCCTCCCTGCTGCCAGCGACAGGGCCTCATCACCTGTCAGCCCTGCGGGCGCGCTCTCGGGGACATTTCTTATGCCGAGGGCATTAGAAAACACACCACACTGCCACGAAAGTCGCTCGTTCTGAGCTATCGCCTACGGCCGACATCGCCAGTAATTTCAAACACTGACTAGGTGTCACCACCAGAGGCTACATTTTCGCCGCCAACGTGTTTTTAAAAATGGGTCTCGTCTACGTCACAAAGGCGGTTTTAGAAGAATCCGAGTTCTTTGGTGTCTCGTCATCACAGCTAACGGTGGGTGATCTGACGTCGCTAAACACTGCTGGAAGCTTAAATACTTGCATAGGTTTCACGGTCTCCAGTTCATCCCTGGTGCCGACACACGGAGCTCGCCGACTCTCCCCGCTTCTCCTCAGGCTACTGCCAGCTCCGTCTTCGCCCCGGTGAGTCTCAGTGTTAAAGAGCTCGGAGGCTTACGTTCTCATTGGAAGGGCTCGTTACCGCAACCAGCTTCTAAGAGAGCCAAGCGGCAGTTGTGAAAGACAAAGCCCAAGACATCACTTTGTGTCTCTTGCAGGTCACTGACAAAGGACACTTGCGTTTTTAAAAACACAATCACAAAGCTCCCAGCTTAAAGAGGAGAACGGGAAAGCAGCAAGGTCCTGCCACGCACACGCAGCGAGCTGTTCTTCAGAACCCGGAGTCGGTCTGGGGACTCCGGGCTGCGGGTGACTGCATGCAGCATTGTCTCGGGCAGGGTCCAGACAGGATTATCACGGCTCTGCCGTCCACGTCCATTTCAGGCTCGCCGCGCTCAGCAGCAAACCCGGTCTGAGGGCCGGGACCCGGCCATGTCTTGTCCCCCCTTCCCAGCCAGTTCCATCAGACGTCGTTCTGGTCAGCTGAACCCAGACAGGGTGAGTTTCAAGTAAGAGGAGCCTCGGCACGAGTCACATCGCCTCTGAAGGAATTGTCTGATCGCACCTGTCCGCGTCTGCTGTGAGCCCGATGAGGGAGGCCAGGGCCCCGGCGCACCGCTCTGGGCCTCGGCGGCTGCGGCCGAGCAGTGGCCCTGGCCCGGGGCCCCGCGGCAGTGGCCCCCCGAGGTCGGCGGTCCGTCCCGCACAGCGAACAGGAGCCCTTTGCCTCCTGTTGTGTCTAACTGCTGTCGAGCCTAAGCGTGAGAGGGGCTTCCAGCGTGTGGCCGGCCACGAGCTGAGGGCCCAGGCAGCGACTCCTTAGCCGCTTGGGCCTGAGCTTCTGCTCTGAGATCGCAGGGCCGTGTCTGCTGTCCGTACCCAGGCCCTGGTGGAGGGTGAGGGCGAGGTCAGCCCCCTGCGGAGCCGAACGTGCTGGACAAATGTCTCCGAACGTTACTATCAGCTCAGATTGTTGGTGTTCGAAGGCGCCAGAGAAGACGCGCCGTTGGTTCTTACTAAAATCCACGTAACATTTTCTACCAGCGAGAGATTAAAATCTCGTTACATAGTTAATTAAAACAAGGGCACCTGAAATTGGGATTTACAAGTTTTTAGTACTGTAACTAGAAACACTGTTTTCAGCACTAAGGTTTGAGTAAACATTGCTTGTGTACGAGATTCTTATGCTGTTGGAGGTAGAGAGTCACTGTATTTGCTCCTCTCACTCCGAGCTGTCAGTGAGGTTTTTTCTTCAAAGGTCACGAAGTCAGCTGGGGGGTCTCCCTTCAAGACAAAACTCCAATAACCTATTTTGATCGTCCCTCACAGGCATTCATT